GACTTGAGAACCGCCTTCCAATACGGATTAAGTTCTCAAGTCAAGACCCCACTATAAAGTGAATTTACCAATTAAAGTTTGCTTAACTTATAAAATCAGCTTGCAAGGTAGAAGAGATGAGGTCTACCTCAGAGTCTGCTGCTTAATCTAATTTTGACCCTTGACCAGCTACACAGATAAAGAAGATCCAAAAGACTGAAGGTATTTCTATATTGGGCCAATCAGGAAAATGCATAAATAATAATCACTCCTACATCCTGCCCCTGGCTGGGACCCTTACAAACTGCATATAGAAGTCAATATTTCACTGTATTCAGAAGAAATGCTGAGCTGCAACTTGTTACAAACTTTGCATGTGCATGCGGATGAGGGGGCTTGCATGAGCTGAAGGCCTGTTGTATTATGTTCTCATAATGGTAAACCGTGATTTGATCCGAATGGTTGTTCTGTCTGAATGCAGCCAGTAGGACTAAGCATATTTGACCACTGTGACAGCATCCATTTTAAAAAATTCACATTAGCCCATTTCCAGTCTAGTTAATGTGTAGAAAGTGACAACATGGCAGCTGAATTGCTTTGATTGTTGCCTCTGCGGTATGCTGAAGCTGGTTATCTTTGGCTCTAGATCTTAAGTACTTTCATTGGCCATATGTGTAATAACATTTATGCCAGAGTGGGAAATGATCAGAAGAGACTTCAGTCCTCATTGAAAGTGGTCAGGAGAGAAGATAAAGCATTTCCACTTTGATGACAGGTCTCTGCATTTTTAGCAAGACATTGATGTAGTGGATTTGACTGGTTTAGCCCCAGAAGATAACCATTTTCTTAAGTGCGAGGGATTATCTCTAGTCCAAGGTATTTAGTATTCCATGGCTAGTATACTATTGCTAATCACAATTAATGGCAAACTTTCTGATATGGTTGGTGAACAGTAAGTCGGCTCTTACATAAGTCCCATTGGATTAGTGGGTCCATTCTGCTTGGAACTAACAATTCTATATTGGTCTGTATGTGCCCTTAGATACAGTATGTGTATCATTCAATTATCTAAGTTTGTACAGGTACCACTTTCATTTAACACTTACCTACTTTTGATTGGTTCAAAATTGGGGAAGGAGTACGACAAGGCTGTATATTGTCTCCCTGCTTATTCAACTTATATGCAGAATACATCATGCGGAAGGCTGGACTGGAGGAATCCCAAGCCGGAATCAAGATTGCTGGAAGAAATATCAACAACCTCCGATATGCAGATGATACCACTCTGATGGCAGAAAGTGAGGAGGAATTAAGGAACCTTGTAATGAGGGTGAAAGAGGAGAGTGCAAAAAACGGTCTGAGGCTCAACATCTAAAAAACTAAGATCATGGTCACTGGTCCCATCACCTCCTGGGAAATAGAAGGGGAAGATATGGAGGCAGTGACAGATTTTACTTTCTTGGGCTCCATGATCACTGCAGATGGAGACAGCAGCCACGAAATTAAAAGACGCCTGCTTCTTGGGAGGAAAGCAATGACAAACCTTGACAGCATCCTAAAAAGCAGAGACATCACCTTGCCAACAAAAGTCCACATAGTCAAAACTATGGTTTTCCCTGTAGTGATGTACGGAAGTGAGAGCTGGACCATAAAGAAAGCTGACCGCCGAAGAATTGATGCCTTTGAATTGTGGTGCTGGAGGAGGCTCTTGAGAGTCCCCTGGATTGCAAGGAGAACAAACCTATTAATTCTAAAGGAAATCAAACCTGAGTGCTCACTGGAAGGGCAGATCCTGAAGCTGAGGCTCCAGTACTTTGGCCATCTCATGAGAAGAGAAGACTCCTTGGAAAAGACTTTGATGTTAGGAAAGTGTGGAGGCAAGAGGAAAAGGGGACGACAGAGGATGAGATGGTTGGGCAATGTCATTGAAGCTACCAGAATAAATTTGACCCAACTCCGGGAGGCAGTGGAAGATAGGAGAGCTTGGCGTGCTCTGGTCCATGGTGTCATGAAGAGTTGGGCACGACTAAACGACGATGACTTGAGTAACAGAAATGGGATAGATCAGAAATTTGCATGAGTATAATGCTCCTTTTGCATTCTTTGTTCTCCAAGCCAGTATAAGTGTTAGTTTTCCTTCACTTTCCTATTTCAGCAGTTACCTTTTTTTAAAAGATGCTGGAAAGGAGTTATAAAGTTATTACCGTAATGGGATACAATAGTTTTGTGTAGCAGCTGTTCATGAAAGCTTTTGCAAACAGTTTTGACATGTTAAAACATTTATGGTTTAACACAGGTGTGGGTAAATTGCAGCCCTGTGCTCTTTTTATAAAAATGATTTTCTAAGCAAAACAAAAATTAAATGAAAAAAATATGACTTGCTACTCCTAGAAAACTGCAGGAGCAGTGATTGCCTTTTCAGACAGCACACACCTCTGCAGAATAATACCTCAAAATATCTGAGCTTCAAAACCTTAAGTAGACTTCTGCCCATTTCTGGTTTCATTATTTTATTGGTTTGTCTGTGTTGCCCCTGAAAGATTTTAATATGAATGCTGTAGTTTCAGTGTCTCTTTTCTGTTATTACCTTGTTCAGAGTAAGTGAAAAGCACAAAGTGTTTAGACAATCTAAATAAATGTAGAGAAATACAGGTGTTTATATTTGTTGAAATATAAAGGAACAAATGATGAAATTCATTGTACTGGCGCCATGTAGCTTTGGTTTAGGAAGTGTTTATTTTGTTATGTTTAATATTTGGTGTCTGGATCTTGTTTTCTATAAATGTGTGTCTGCAAGGACCACTGAATATGTTAAAAACTTTTATGTTTGGTTTATTTAGACTATTCTGCAGCCATCTAAGGCTGGATGCACTGAGGCACATAATTCTGCTTCCATTGGCAGAATTCAGAACAGGTAGTCCTCCCTCTTTTAGCCTTTTGTTTCTGATCATGGGGGTCCCATCACCTCCTGGCAAATAGAAGGGGAAGATATGGAGGTAGTGACAGATTTTACTTTCTTGGGCTCCATGATCATTGCAGATGGTGACAGCAGCCCCGAAATTCCCCTGGACTGCAAGGAGAACAAACCTATCCATTTTGAAGGAAATCAACCCTGAGTGCTCACTGGAAGGACAGATCCTGAAGCTGAGGCTCCAATATTTTGGCCATCTCATGAGAAGAGAAGCCTCCCTGGAAAAGGCCCTGATGTTAAGAAAGTGTGAAGGCAAGAGGCGAAGGGGACGACAGAGGATGAGATGGCTGGACAGTGTAATCGAAGCTGCCAACGTGAATTTGACACAACTCCGGGAGGCAGTGGAAGACAGGAGGGCCTGGTGTGCTCTGGTCCATGGGGTCACGAAGAGTCGGACTTGACTAAACGACTAAACAAACAAACAGTCTCCCCTGAATTGCAATTCATGTGCACCCCAAAAGCCTGCTCTTGATTGAAGCAAAACACTCTATAGCCAAAAACACGAAGTCAGTTAGCTGTGTTAGTCTATTGAATAATAGTTTATACCAGTGGTACCCAACTTTTTTGGAATCGCAGACTGGTTGGGAGCGGGGTCCACATATGTGCAGGTGGGCGTGGTGCGCTCGCGGGTGGGCGTGGTGCGCTTGTGCGGGGCCACTTGCAGGTGGGCATGGTGCTCCCGCATGCATGTGTGGATGGGTGTGATGTGCTGAGAGCCCACGAGTGGGCTACGCCCACCCGCGCACATGCCTGTTCACCCCCGCATATGTGCGAGTGCCTCACACCTACCGTGTGAATGTGCAGGGGGTGAGATCTGTCTCCGCGGCCTGGTCCTGAGAAGCCCACGGGCTGGCATCAGCCAGCAGACTGGGGGTTGGGGACTCCTGACTTATACCAGAAACAGTAATGTAGTGCTTATAAGACTAATTACAGTACAGTATTTTTATTTTCTATTCATCTGAAGAAGTATGCTTAGACTCCCAAAAATTTATGAAAATAAAAAATTATTAATTTTATAGGTACTACATTACTGTTTCTGGTATACTCAGAGGCCAGTTTTTGAGTTTCCCAGAAGGCCGTGTTTAATAGAGTGATACTGGATTTAGGCCTAAGACGGGAAATCTGCTTAAACAAAAATCTGAGAACCCCATAAACTTGTTTCCTTATCCTAAACCAGTGAACAATGGGTTTGTTGCAGTGGTAGAGTACATGCTGTTCATGCAGAGATCCCAGGTTCAGTTCTTGAAATCTTCATGTAGATCTTGGAAGGACTTCTTTCAGCAACAGAGGTGTGAAGATTTGTGATCTTGGACTACAACACCCAGAATTCCTCAGGCAGAAGTGGGAAATTCTGGGAGCTGTGATCCAAAAACACAAACACTAGTCAGAAACTTGACGCGTAACTTGAATAAATAAATTCCATTGTGGCCTCTAGGAGTATGTTTGCTGTGTTTCTGGGGATGCTGGCCCTTGAGGTCCCTAAACCTCCAGACTTTTATTTTAGGGCATTAAATGGCTTGAGGGGGCTTTTTTTGTTTAATCCCCTCTATATTTTTGTACGGAAACACCTGTGGGGGGAGCTATGGAAAAATATGCAACTTTTGAGTACAGCTCATAGTTCTCTGGAGATAGCCCATCCTTGCCCTAGCTTCTCTTATCAGTATGTGTGTTTGTATCTGCAGTAGTGTGAAATAGATAGTTTTCTGTTTCGGATAATTGTTAATGTTAAATGAATGTAACATTTAACTGAACTGGGAGCAAGTGGAATTATTTTCTCTTTGGATAAATTTTTTATAGATTTAGTTGAGAAAATCTTAGTGCATTACATTTCAGCACATCAGTGAAAATCAAAGCATTTTTATCCCTAAAGCTTTAATTTGAATTGAGTAGAATTTACTTCCAAGTATGTATGATTAATATCTCAAAAGTGTTCTGTGACATTTATTTTAGAAACTGATGAGGGAAGCATATGCAGGTGGAATTCCCAGAAAGGACATAAGTGAGAAGTCTAAGGAAGCTAAATTAATGTTAACTTTTTGTTCTTTTCCAGGCTAAAGAAATATTGACAAAAGAGTCCAATGTACAGGAAGTACGATGTCCAGTAACAGTTTGTGGTGATGTCCATGGACAATTTCATGATCTCATGGAACTTTTCAGAATTGGAGGCAAATCACCAGATACAAACTACTTGTTTATGGGGGACTATGTTGACAGGGGATATTACTCTGTTGAAACAGTAACACTTTTGGTAGCTCTGAAGGTAATAATGAAGCACTAATATAGTCTTTGATATTTGTAACATAAAAATATGTATAATCTGAATTATTGCAAAGTTTACAGTACTTGTAAGACTTGTTACAGTTTGATGTACTTTGCGAAAGCCTGGTTCCTTGAAATGGAGGTTCAACGCTAATATACAGCATAATAATAGCAGGATATGGGTGAAGGCACTGGTGATCTCCTGGACCAACTACTCCAATGCTCTCTGTGTGGGGCTGCCCTTGAGGCTGACCTGGAGACTGCAGTGGGTCCAGACTGTGGTGGCCAGACTGGTGGCTGGTATGAACAGATTTGATTACATCACCAGAGTGCTGGCCAGCCTCCACTGGTTACCTGTTGTGTCCTGAATCAGGTTCAGTGGCTTGGCACCCACCTTTATGGTTTGGCACATTACTTGTTGGAGTATCTTTCCCCAATGTCATCCGCCTGACCCACTAGATCATGTCAAGCCCAGGATCCTTCGGGTAGCCACCCCAAGAGATTCCTGAAGTTCCTCTAGCAGAGGTAGGGTCTTCTTGGTAGTGGCATCAAGACTGTGGAACCAGTTTCCAGAGGAGCTACACCTGTCCCCCTCCCTGTATTCTTTTAGGAGATAGTTGAAAACACATCTTTTCAGGGAGGCTTTTCAATCTGACCCCGGTTTAGCGTTTTGCCCCCAGTTCCACTTTTCTGTGATAATTTGTTGGTGTCACTGGTTTGCTTATTTGTTTTTTCTAAGGCTCTTCTCACATTACGGCTATTTGTGTTATATTTAAATGTTTTGTCATGAAGCTTTGTTTTAATCCTTTGTAAACTGCCCTGAATGGTGCTTTGGCACTAGTGAGAGGGTGTATAAATTAGCTTAAAGTAAATTAAAATAATAATAATAAAGTAATCATTTTGGAGTCCAGAATACAGCAATACAGTGGTGCCCCGCATAGCGACGTTAATCCGTTCCAGGATTAACATCGCTATCCGGAAACATTGCTGTATGGAACAAAAAAGCCTATAAGAATGCATTAAACCCTGTTTAATGCGTTCTTATTGGGCAAAAACTTACCGTTCAGCGAGGATCCTCCATAGGGGCGGCCATTTTCGCCGCCTCGGTAAGGGAGGAATCCCTCCAGAAAAGAACTGGAGCCCTCTTCCCGGCTCCAGCCCCTCCCCCTCACCGCCTTACAGCTGACGGGCGGGAAGCTGCGGCTGCTCTTAGAAGCTTGCCTAGCAGCTAAATAGGTAGTGTAAAAGCACTGCCGAAGCCTCTGAAAGCGGGGCTTTGCCTGGGTGGGGGTGGATGGGTGGGTGTCAGGGCACCTGTTAAGCGAGGCACCACTGTATATTAAATGAATTGCTTTACAAATCTGTAGGAACTTCCTCATGTCTGTATATAAGTGGTGGGGAGGATGAAGAAGGCAGGTCCAGGCTTTAAAACAGATCTTTTCATGTTTACTTTTGGGCTTTATTTTGTTTTTGTTTTTTTAAACCAAACCATACATTTACAGCACAGAATTAAATGTGCTTGAGATATTCTGAAGTAATATAGTGCTTAGCCCAGTTTTCTAGAAATGACTGATAAAGCACACCCTGCCCCAAACCTAGTGGGTACAGTTGTGCTGAAGGAAAGCTTGTGTTAATAGAAGCAATGGCTGGCCATCTTTGTAAACATAATAGTAATATAGTACATACTTGGTTAAGTAACACTAACCATCTTGTATTATAGGTCCGTTATCGGGAACGCATAACTATCCTTCGAGGGAACCATGAAAGCAGGCAGATCACACAAGTATATGGCTTCTATGATGAATGCTTAAGGAAATATGGAAATGCAAATGTCTGGAAATACTTCACAGACCTTTTTGATTATCTTCCTCTAACTGCCTTGGTGGATGGACAGGTATACTGAAAATAAGGATATTTCTTGTCAGTTGTAGCAGTGATTCAAGGCATAGTTGATTGTCTCAGATCACATTATTCCTATAGAAACTACCTGTAGCATCATTAGAATGTGCATTTATTATAGTTCCTAAAGGTAATTTACAACAAATTATTCTTACAGATTTTTTGTCTACATGGCGGTCTCTCTCCATCAATAGATACACTGGATCATATCAGAGCACTTGATCGCCTGCAAGAAGTTCCACATGAGGTAACAATGTTATTTGTGCTCTGTTTCTGTTTTGTGATTGTGTGTGGAACCATACTAATGTCTAATGAGGCTTTTGGAAATTAATTCTTAGCTTGGAGCAGGCTTGTGCTGATTATCAAGTTCCGTATTAAACAATAAAACTGAAAATACAAATACTGAGCACTCCAACTGAGTTTTAGTCTAAAGCAGGTGAAAATGCATGAAATAATTACAAAATATGCATCAGGTAATTTTATGAATTAACAAAAGATAAAGTAAATGTCTGCAAACAGAACCAGAGTGTTGAAGTGGATAGAGTGATGGACTAGGACTCTGGAGACCTAGGTTTGCCTCCCCACTTGGCCATGGAGACTCACTGGGGAGTGGTATTGATAAAACCGCTCCTTAAATATCTCATGTACTTTGACAATCCAGTTAGGGCACTGTACGTTGCATGTGACATGATGGCACATAACAAACCAAAAACATAGACGTCCACACAGTTTCCAAAGCTAAGAGGACAGTCTTGTGTACTGAAGCCCTTGTCAGGATATCTAGTATTCACTACAGTGGTTAGAGAACATGGCCTATACCTAGCTGTTACTCTCAAATACAGGAAAGTGTTTGTTTATAGAAGTGAATCAGTTGCTGAGTGTTAAGTTGACACTTAAATCCTGTTAATTTCTTGGTCTACTTCAGGTCAGTCTGCCTCTTGATTATGGAATATATGTACAGGGTAGTTTGATCTCTAATGCTTAGTTCAAAAAACCGATAAACTCTTCTCTGCTTACTCACTTTCTGATTTGGCTACATCCTGTTGGTATGTTAAAGAGAAAGTTGCATTAATCATATCAGTGTCTATTATGATCAGCTACTGTTGATGCTAAATCTCCTGCTTATGTTTGGCAGGAGATTTTCTAGGGAGGGAGTTGCCAAACAGAAGACTAGGGTGTACTGAAGAGTTTTCTGGAAATGGAGTTAGTTAAATACTTTGATTTGTAACAATAGTAGAGATAGAGGAGCTTCCAGAAGAGCAGGAAAACATGAATTGGGCCTGATATATGTACTTAGTACCTTAATAGAATGGGTGATCCCCTTTGTTGGCATTAACCTCATGGAGAGGAATGTAGGCTTCTTCACATGTATGCAGCCATAGTTAGGGTTTGCATTATTCATGCTGTCATCATCCTCTATTCCCAAACATCTGCCTCTTCTTCCACCTTTCTCCTAGATAATGGGGGAGGGCCAGTTTTCTTCCTCCAGACAGCTTTCGCAAAGAAGTCTGTGCAGAAAGAGAACGTCTTAGTGCTTGACAGTTTGCACTAAGCAGCATTCACTGCTAAACTGAAGTGTTGGTTTTTGAAAAACAGTTGTAGTGGTGAGAACTACAGCAGCAGTGTGGAACAAGATAAGAGGGCATGGAATTTGTGTCCCTTAGGACAGTGGTCCCCAACCTTTTCCAACCACGGACCAGTTGAGGGGGTGGGGGGCATGGCACGCTCGTGGGGGTAGTGACACACATGCGGGGGGGATCATGCACACACACGTATGCACGGGGTAGCGTGTGCGGGGGGCCCAGGAGATCTGTGTCCGGGCCCGGTGCCAGGTCACAGACCGGGGGGTTGGAGACCCCTGCCTTAGGATGCTGTTGTACTGCAACCCCTGTTATATTTGACTATTGTCCATATACATAAGCTGTAATTGATGGGAGTTTACGTTCAGCAAGATGAGAAGGGTTTGGGGTTTCTTGTATTTCAGTAAAGGACAAGGCATTACTAGTGGAATTCAGTTTTAGTGGGTAGTGGACAGGAACGTAGTCTTCCCGCCCTCGCCCCCAGTGCCTTGTTCAAGTGATGTGTGGGAGCATTCCTTCAAGAAACAGGTGGTATATGAATTATTCCGGTCATGATGACTTGATTATTCAGCTGCTATTCTGAATGGTTTCTTTATGAATAAGCAACCTTCAACCACACAAGACTAATTAACAGCGCTGCAATCTTTCCAAGGGCCCCATGTGTGATTTGCTATGGTCAGACCCTGATGATCGTGGTGGATGGGGAATTTCTCCTCGAGGAGCTGGTTATACTTTTGGACAAGATATTTCAGAAACTTTCAACCATGCTAATGGCCTTACATTGGTTTCAAGAGCTCATCAGCTTGTAATGGAGGTAAGTGTATGTTATGGAGATATCCTAAACTTCAGATTATTTCTATTGATTCTTTTCTGGGGAGAAATGTCCAAACATATCCAGACATCTTTTGGTACATGAATATACCTACTTTAAATCTCTTGTGGTGCACTGTGTTATACCTCTAAAACTTGCAAAAATAAGGTTATAAAGGCTTCAGAATATAATTATTGGTTACAATTCTGATAGTCAACTCTATCACTCCTGACTTGTTGGCCTGTATTGTGTTATTCCTCAGCCTGTTGTTGCAGCATCTTGTATATAATAATTGCAGTGGAACAATATACATTAAAATATTTTACAAGACAGCCATTTGAACAGAATATCTCTAGAGAATACTGTGTGAAATCTTTAGTCTTTTTATCTTTTATGGAAGAGAATCAAGTAATGAATTGAATTCTAAGATAGAGTGAGTCATTTTCATTGAAACATAATGCAAAGATGTTTTAAAATTCACAAGGCCTTTATTGATTAATTGTATTTGTTTCTTCATTTTTATAATAGTGTAGGGCCCTAACTTTGCTTTAAAATGAATAGATGAGGTTCACAGTGTTGCACTTAGTTCAACCTCTGATGTTTTCAGTTAAAAGGTATTGGGTAAAATGGTTGGGAAGGCCTCTCATTGGGATTCTGGAGAGCAGCTAGTTCTCAGAGTAGATTGGTGTAAGTATTTTCAGCCATTTACATGTTGGATTGTAAGCTACCCATCTGTCCTAGCCTGCATGGCTAATGGTGAGGGCAGATGAGTCTAATGACATCTGGAGTACGCAAGTTGCCCATCCCAAAGACAGATACCGCTGGGTTGAATGGGCCAGTAATAGCTTTTGGTAAAACATGGTTCTGTATATACCACTTGTTATGTGAATGGCTAAAATACTGTTTGGATAATAGAGCTGTCATAATTTCATGTCTTGTTCACTCTAACATGTTACTTTCCCTGTTGAGACTTTTGATTTGTATATATGTATTTCTATCACAGGGATACAATTGGTGCCATGATCGGAATGTAGTAACAATTTTCAGTGCTCCAAATTACTGTTACCGTTGTGGTAACCAAGCTGCAATCATGGAACTTGATGATACTCTAAAATATTCATTGTAAGTGTTTACTATCTTACCAGAACTGTCAAAGCACATTGTTCATACTTCTTCATAAAGATTGTTTGGTGTTGCTGCTAAGAGAAAATTGAAGTGGCCAAATGTGGTCTTACCAGATACTAAGTTTTTAAACATCAGCTTTCCTTTAAAATCAGGGGATGTGGCACTGTGGGTTAAACCGCAGAAGCCTCTGTGCTGCAAGGTTAGAAGACCAGCAGTCTTAAGACTGAATCCATGCGACGGAGTGAGCTCCCATCGCTTTGTCCCAACTCCTGCCAACCTAGCAGTTCGAAAGCATGCAAATGTAAGTAGATAAATAGGTACCACATTGGTGGGAAGGTAACATCGTTCTGTGTCTAGTCACGCTGGCCACGTGACCACGGAAACTGTCTTCAGACAAACACTGGCTCTACGGCTTGGAAACGGGGATGAGTACCACACCTTAGAGTCGGACCCAACTAGACTAAATGTCAAGGGGAACCTTCCTTTAAAATGCAAACGATGCTTGAATGAATTCTGTCACTTGAAGCACTAGTGCTGCAATCCTGTAGATGTTTACCCAAGAGTAAGCACACTTCCACTTTTTCCAATGTGGGAAGTGGATGGGATGGTTTTTAGAGCAACAGATGTTGCTCAGAAAGAAGTTATAAGTTATAAAACCATTTATAAATGGTAATGATTAGTGTTTAATACCAGCTGTTACTGAAATCGTTGCACTTTTTCATCAGATTTTGGGAAACTAAGGTTAAATTCCCTAGTTGAAAATGGCATTTGAAGTGATGCTTGCTTCTGTTCTTTCAGTAGTGCGCATTTACTAAAATACATGAGTCTCTGAGGTCTTAGACTCTTCATTGTCCTTGGAGGAAAAGGACAAATTTTTAGACTTCTATTCTGTTCATTTTTTAATATTGTACTTTTAAGTCACCCTCTGTCCTTTTTAAGAAAAAAGTGAGATAAATTTTTTAAAAGTGATCATAATGACTTATGATCATAAGCTCTTATGTTACTTGATTAAAATGTACTCTGTTTTTTAGTTTGCAGTTTGATCCAGCACCACGCAGAGGTGAACCACATGTTACTCGTCGCACCCCAGACTACTTCCTGTAATGAGATTTTACACTTGTACAGTATTGCCATGAATCATGTGTTGACCTAAAGGATGCGGGAAGAGCAACAGTAACTCCAAAATGTCAGAAAACATTTAACATTGAAACTTATTTTCACATGGACCAAAAGATGTGCCATATTGAAATACAAAGCCTCTTCTTGTCTGTCAGCGACTGTGACCACTTTAGAATGAACCAGTTCATTGCATGCTGAAGCAACATTGTTGGTCAAGAAACCAGTTTCTGGCATAGCTCTACTTGTAGTTACTTTTGCTTTCTCTGAGAGACTGCAGATATTAAGATGTAGACATTTAACACCTCGTGAATACAATTAACTTTCCATTTAGCTATAGCTTTCCAGCATGACTGTAGATAAGAATAGCAAACTATCATTGAAGCGTAATGAGCATTTTAAATAAGTACCAAGACAGACTTTTCTTATTTGTGTTCTGAAACTGTTTTTTTAAAATTAGGGAAAACTGTTTAATTTAATTGTATGATTGTTTTGTCTGAACTCTTTTCTCCACATTCTTCCTTCACACTTTCCTCTACACAATGTCCTGTGTACTTGTCCATCATAGTGTGTTATTTTGAAAAGAACTGTTTTTTTCTGTATGATGTTGCTGCAGCAGAGTGCTGCAGCATTTTTTCATAATAAACTTGTGAACTATGGAAGATTACTGACTTTTAAATGTTTCGCAAGCCTATACAATGTTGTATTCAATAAAAACTAGCTTTTATGTCTCTTTCAACCTACCGAGAATCTAGATTATACAGAACTAAGGTCGTTGGGAGTTTATTGAGAATTGTCATCAGCTCATGAGTCCTCCTTTTTCAATGAACAGATGCTTGTGGAAAGAAAATCTGAGGATTGCATGATTTTATTGCCTCGCAGTTGAATAGAATGTGGTTGTTGGTAGCTATTTATGTAAAGTTTGACCAAGCTCTAGGAGGCAGTGGAAGACAGGAGGGCCTGGCAACAACATATGTACACGGACACGACTTAATGACTAAACAACATCATATGTACAAAAAAAATATAACTAGGACAGTAATTCTGAGAATAGAATAACTTAATATTTCATTGTAGTTTTTCAAATTTGGAGAGCGGCCGGCATCTACTACTTTGCATTTACCTCTAATTTCAACAGACTCTAAAGGTTTTTTTTAAAATAAGCCTTATATATTCTTAGTTCCTTTTATGTTGAAGTTATTGTTATTCCCTTAGATAGAAGACTGGAATCAGAAATATGGTACTATTTTCTCTACAATTGTGGGGAAGAGAGGAAACAACACTGAAAGTAGGTTTCATAGTTTAGTGTCTTTATCAATACTGTATTAGCAGCTCATAATAGTTAAAGGGATGAGTCACAAGGACCCATTTGGTATACCTTTCAGTCATTCATAACTGTCCGTAGTAACCTACTGTGACTGTATGTGTTATCATATGGGAAGTAAAGGTGGAGAAGCAGGAAAAGAAGTTCAGAAACTTGAGTAAGAATACACGTATGTACTTTGCCAGTGTGCTAAATTTCTTTGTCAGACCTGTCCTGGACACAAAATGTGGTATTTGTTTTAACAGAATTGCATTTATTACTGTGTTCTAATGATGGAAGTGCAATTCAAATTGTTGATAATTCTCATTTGCTCAGAATGATGAAACTCGAGAGGCTGTTTTCCAACATAATACATTGGGGGTGCAGAAATTCCATTGTTACATTTACAGAACACTTCCTCTGCTTTATACTGCTTTCTTAGTGCCCTTGGGATTCTCCCTGAAATTTGAAAATATTTACTAGTGCATCTCCCCCATGTAATCTCAGTATTTCTACTTACCATTCAAAAAATGGTAACAGAATTGGCTAAGAATGTTTGAAAAAAAAAGGCTGGCATACACTAGTTATGTCAGAGGCACACTGTGGGTTTTTAATTTGTTTCTGTGCAGCAGACCTTTGTGTTCCATCAAACTGCGTTTGAAGTCCTCTCAGTCTAGAGCAGTAAGCTGTGTAACATGGGACCCTGTTGTTTTAAGCTTAGTAGAAAACTTCAGTGTTCTGTAGATCCTGACCAATGTATTTCAAAATGTGCCTTGTAGTGTCTTGTTAATTAGCTTCAGTTAGCTTCCACAACCCCTAATTTTATTTACGTTAGCATTAAATTCAAATAGGATTTGGGCTAGACCAGCTGGGTGTGGAAACTCATCATCCCATCCCCTGACTGGGGTGGCCAGAAGAGCAGGAAAGTGGAGCAGCGCCAGCTGGGCTTCGTCCGAGAGTGACACGATAAGCAGGACATCAGCTGCATGCTGCACCGCAACCTGTAAGTGGATGAGTCTGTTTGGGGAGGCCGGACGGGATCCTGGCTACCTGGATCTAGAAATACGAATATCCCATCTCTAATTTGGGCTTAAATGTTTGTGGGTCTAAGTATGTAGTGAGTGGTGGCTTTTCAGTTCCTCCTTCACAACTTTAATTAATTGTGTGACATCAAGTCAGTTCTGACTTTGGTCGACTCTTTTCAGGGTTTTCTAGGCAGAATACTCGGAAGTGGTTTTTCATTTCCTTCTTCTGGGGGCATCCTGTGCAGCTTGCCCAAGGCCACACAGGATGACTCTTCTAAGATGCACAGTGGGAACTGAACTCCCAACCTCTTCCTTTGCCGCCAAATGCCTAACTCACTGAGTTATCCAGCCAGCCTCCACAACTCTTTTTTGAGTCTTACCGTTTATGGTTTGCGAAACATTTTTTGAGTCTGCCCATTTGGCTGCTTCTAAGACATTTTCATTTTGAACAAAACATTCTGTCCCAGGCTAAGCACAGTCTCTATTTGATGTATAAAAAGAAAACCGTCATAATGTTGTTTGTATTGGTTTTGAAAGCAAGCAGCCTAAGGTATATATGCTTTTACTCTTAAAACCAATATCATGATGTAGAGGCACATTATTCAAACACAGAGCAGATGGCTGTTAAATTCATGCTCTCGGGAAAGAAACCATGGCCAAAATTTTGTTCCTTCTTTCGGCATACATAGTTTGTTTCACACATGGTTGTAATTTCTTTGGCATTTGCCCGAGGGAAAATTCACAAATCCATAGACCAAGTGGAAAGCCCTATTGCTGTCAACAGGGTTCTTTCCAGCAACTTGTCAACTGCAAGCCTGAGAACAAGCAGCCCCACTGTGCTCCACAATTGCAAACAGGATTCTAACCGTTGCAACATGTTGAAGTAGGAATTTGTCCTAGATCTCAGAATTGCTCTGAGTCTTTACTCCTCTTTCTGTAAGATATCCAGGGTATACCTGAGTACAGTAAGTTCATTATCTCCCAGGGCTGTACTAGATAAAGTAGTAAGGCAAATTATCTTGATTATATTAAAGATAATTAAGTCACTCACCAGTCTTGTGTCTGTTCTTGCAGAGAATAGCAGGACTTAAACTGCTGGTATATTAAAACCTTGGAGAATGAGATAGTTCACCTTTGTTTCTCCCAGTTCTTACCCTGGTTTGAGATGTTAGTTGAATGTGAATTGCTGAATTTGTCTGGAGGTGAGGCACTACATTGAGTCTTCCTAGATTTTTCTGTACGATTAAGAATAAAATCTATTGGAATCCAAATGCTCGCAGTCTTGAATAATTTTTTTCTTTGAAAGAAGGAAGGTTATATGGCTTTCAAATTGATTTCAGTCATCCCTGTCTTCCCAGGATGCACCAGCTTTTTCTTGCATTCATTTTAGATCGGTTAAGGTAAAAAAAATAGTGCCATGGCCACTTTGTGACCTTTATGATTGAATAAAGGGTTTGAGCCACATCTTCCTAGCTTTACTCTTGACATGGACAATTGCAATTAAAAGTCAGTACTTTAAAAGTCAGTTATAACCTTGGATTGTGACTAAAACTTTGAACACAGTCTAGCACAAACTGTACTTAAGCATGTTCATTGGCCTACTTTGTGGTGGATTAGATATAAACCTTAAAAATAAACCAGGACTAACAATGCATAGGTTTTAAAATGTAATTCCACCACATATAGCAGCAGGGAAGGTTCTCACTTCTGTGGCTTTTTCTTACGCTGTTACTTTGACCTCTGTACTGCAGGCAGAAATAGCCCCCAGTAATTTCACAACTTTGTTATTGGAATGGCATGGCAGTTTGTCACCCAAATGCCTAGTGGATATAGATTATGGGGCAGGTGCATCACGCGGCTCTCACTGAAAAGTCCATCTCAGACACGTTAGCTATTGCAAACCATCATGGATTGTGATGGGGCAGCCTGATGTGTTCCAGATGTTTCAGATCCCAACAACTAGCTCTGGTTTCTATACATATTGCATTGTATACTTTATCACGGTGAAAGACCAGTAAATTTTCTATACATACTCATAAATGTACAGTATATTCATAAATGTATTCATTTTTTTAACTTCTGACTTTGGTAAAACTAATAATGAAATATGGGTGAGAAATTATGGCTGCAGCCCCGAATGTACTTACTCGAAAGCTGAATTCCACTGACATCAACCAGACTTCTACATAAACAAACTGAAGATTAGCCTTCAAAAGTAGACATACAGTTTACTTGAATGTTGTAACAACATAACTTGTTCCTTTAACATTTCTGTATATTTAAACACCTGGGATAATCTGGCATACATTTTAAAACTCTGAGCTGAATTAACTAGGTGCTTCGTCTGTTTTGTGAAACATGAACTGTGAAATTCTATGAAGAAAGCAGAGCTCAGTAGGAATATGTTTTCACAGTAACAATAAAGAACTGAACTATCTGAGCCTGTGAATTACTGTGGCTGCAATTCATGTTTTTTCCCAATGTAAGAATGTTTTTCTGTTATCACTTCATTCTCCAAGTAGTGGAGGAGAGGAGGAAGGGTCAAATAGGTTGTTCAATTGTTTTTTGGGGATGAACAAGAAAGAAAAGAGCAAAAAAAAAAAAAAAAAGTCCAGCTCTGAAGAAGGATGAAAATGAGCTGCAGTGATGCAGATGAGGGAAAATACCTTTTTAAAGAGGCTGATTTACTTTGGAATGTAGAAAGGAAGAGCTAAAATGAACAATGAAGGCAACATAAAGGGCAGAAATAATTAAGGCTTATTTGCTTTAGATTTTATAACCTGGTATTCAGATATGCTGCTATTCTAAGTACTCTGAGCACAGAAGCGTCATTTCGGAGGACCTCCACTAATTCTTAGAGCAAGTCTGGCACCCAGCCCAACATGGATGTAATATTTCACTCTTGATGGTTGTCTTGTTGAATATACTCAGGAGAATGATGGAGTTCCATAACAGTTCCTTTGTCCAAAATTGCTACTCATCAGAATGCCTGTCTATAGAGTTTTAGACAGCCTAGGACTGTGTCTGTGAATTTCGTTGTATGGGTATACTGTGTATATACTTACAATGACAATATATTATTATTATTATTATTATTATTATTATTATTATTATTATTATTATTATTATTATTATTATTATTATTATTATATTAAAATGTGTTGGGCTACAAATACTATCCCATCTCCAATCAAATTGTGCATGGGGAGACAATAGCTGAAAGCATCTGGGAAGAAAATACCCAGGAAAGTTTTGCTTTTCCCATTTTTCTTACAGGACTTTGTGTATTTAACAGAATTGGCCATGTGAGGGAAATAGTAAGCATTTTGTGGTGCA